CCCGCAGAAGGTCTGTTTGTACTTGGCAGTCACAAACCTTTCATCTCAGAGCGTTACTAAATTAAACAATCCTATGTTGTATTGAACACAGTGAGCCAGACACCCTGGCAGGCTCCTCCACTTCCCAGTGGCTGTGGGGGAACATTAGGAATGAAGTGTGGTGCTGATGATTAAATAGCTTTTCTGTCATTCTGCTCAACACTTCAATTGTCTACAACAATGGAAACCTTTAACATTCTCTCAGCTCCTTACTCTGTCCCCATATGTAAGAGAGCACAGATCTTGGAATTAGAGATCTAGATTCAGGTTACAGTTTTGCTTTTCTTTTTGGTCTGAGACTGGGACTCGAACTCAGTACTTGACGTTTTCACCCATTTGACTAGAGCTCTACCAATTGAGCCACACCTCCAACTCCAACAATTTGATTTTCTTAACCTATTAAGCTACATACCCAAGGACAAATTTCACAGTCCCACAGCAGCCTTCCATTAGTAGCTGTGAAAACACAATGATGTAATGCAAACAAAGACAGGGCACATTGCTCAATGTCCATCCCCACAGAAAATCCTCACTGTTAGCCAACTCTTCACCACAACATTCATTTTAGAGCTTAAAGCATAGGTAATTGACATCAGCATTTTTCTCCCTCCAAAACAGCTAAATAATCCAAAGAGCCTGTGAAGATTTCATATCAAACAACTCCTTCCCTTCCTTCATCCTTCTCTGACATGGAACTGGAGGTAAGGAAGCCATCGATAAAGTCTCTTTCAAATGTATTAAATCAGGGCATGACACAAAGCACTCATTCACTTGAGGCAAGTTTAAAAGAACTGAACTGAAAGACACAAGAAGAGAAACATTCACTATTAGGGGGGAATGCATATTTTGCAGTGAAATAATTGCTAACCTTTCCATAAAGATTGATGCAATTTGATTATAATTCCCAAGTGTCAGTAATCAGTTCTTAAGGTAAAAGAAAGAGGAAGTAGGATGGTTTTAAGCTCTGCAGAGGATGTGGGAGGATATCCTTTCCCACTGACAGCAAGTGATGTTTGATTGATGGCTGCTAGAATGTTCTGACTGAAAAACTTTGTCACATTAGAACAGACTGAAATCTATTTTAAACAAAACTTACCAGGTTTCATATACACAAACACTTGAGGCCTACCTTGACCCTAGGATGAGGGAGAAAATGCATGATGGCTCTCAGCCACATTCCCATCTTGGACATCTAGACAGTCTTTAAACTCTGCAGGGACAGACTTCTTTAGCCTAGCCACTACACCACACTAGTCAAGCTTCCAGGTTAGGGAAAAGGAAAATTCTCAGGGGGGTGGGGGAGTGTTCAGAGCACAGGGAAGCGCCTAGTGAGTTTCATTACAGAGATCATTAGGGAACCTGTGGCCCAAAACCAGGACTCCTTCCTCCCCTCTGCAAAACTCTCCCCTTACACTTGGAGTGAATCATACCCCCAGGAGAGAACAAATCTGTGAGATTCTATAGAAGGAAGGCTCACATGCTGGCTTTTCTAGGGATCTATTATCTGGGCTGCACACCAGCCTTAGTTTTCTTCTTCCTAATCACCAGGTATAAACCAGTTTCAGCTGGACAGTCCTTGGCCACAAGTTCTGTATGTGAACACTCAACCCTTCTCCTCTGCCCAACACCCCAGCCAGTGGTCACTTACTTAGCCAGTCTAAACTTTAAGCTTTATGCCTAAAATAGGAAAATACTTACAAATGCACAAAATCCAAACCACTAAATCTGTAAGAAAATCTTAAAATCCATTTAAACATAGTATAATCTTTTTCCCAAATGGAGCTAGTCAGAAAAACAAATGATAATAAGTAAATTCCTGTACCACCACGGAACTAGAATTTTAGTATTTCAGAAAACAAAGACAAGAGTATACCATTAGCCACATTAAGGTATCTGAAAGTAAAGTCCAGGAAGAGCTCATTCATTTAGGCCCAACCAATGAAGAAACAAACTGATATCTTTCTTAGCCTAGTTTTGGGAAGGAGGCTTAGCCCTCATTTTTTGGACTAATTTGAGTTCCTCGTGCTATGTTGATAAGATTGATTTACTGCTTAAAATCACTTGATCCAATTTTTACTGAACTTTTTATGTAAAAAATAAAATCAATTAAAGAAAAAAAAAGAGTTGCTAAGCAAATTAAAGAGTAAATGAAAATTATTAGCTGGGTGCTAGTGGTTCACACCTGTAATCCTAGCTACTCAGGAGGGTGAGACCTGAGGATCATGATTGTACACCAGCCCCAGCAGGAAAGTCCATGAGACTCTTATCTCCAATTAACCATCAGAAAACCCCAAGTGGTGCTGTGGCTCTAAGTGGTAGAGCACTAGCCTTGAGTAAAAAAGTTGATGGGCAGTGCCCAAGCCCTGAACTCAAGCCCCATAACCAACAACAACAAAAAAAAAAAAAAAAGAAAGAAAAGAAAGAAAGAAAATTGCCACAGAATTAATCAATTAAAAACTTTACACTCGGCAGGCTTGTGGCTCATGCCTATACTCCTAGCTACTCAGGAGGCTGAGATCTGAGGATCACAGTTCAAAGCCAGCCCAGGCAGGAAAAGTCCATGAGACACTTATCTCCAATAAACTACTACAAAACCTGAAGTAGTGCTGTGACTCAAGTGGTAGAGTACTCACCTTGAGCTGAAGAGCGCAGTGATAGTGCTCAGGCCCAGAGTTCAAGCCCCATGACCACCACCAACAACAACCCCAAAACTTTACCCTCCAGTTACTACTAAGCACTAGTTAAAACTAGTGTATGTATTCTTCACAATCCCATATTCCAATGGAAACAAGTCTGACAAGACACAAAGAGTTGCTTGAGTCTATAGAGATAATCAACTGCCACCGTTTGCTCTGCCTATGAAAAACTGGCTTATGAGTCAGAAAAGCTTCATAGGCAGTTCCCCCACTGAGAAATAGCCATTCTACAAAACTGCTGGCACCTAATTCTCTAGTTTTCTATATGATAAAGATTCAATTTCCCTCTATTATGATTAAAAGTATGAGTGAAGGGCATTTACTTTAACCTCAAATAAACTTCAAATCCTTCAATATAAACCGTAAATAGTCACATGTCCATATCATGAAACATAAATAAGATTAAAGAGGACCTTGTATCCTACCTACTGTAGATATTTACTTTGTCCTTAGCAACAATGAAGGTAGATCTAAAATGTAGTTTATGTGATTTATAAAATAAATGTACATAGCGCAAATCAAAATATCACAAAATGTTATAGTACCAAGTGTCATTGTAATTGTGTATGTACAGATTTAGGAGTACATAAAAACCACATTCTAGCTTTCTTCTCCAAATTAAAATTGAGGCTATTTAGCCTTTAAATCTTAATTTTGGCTTAATAATGACCATAAACACTGCCATTCATCTCTGTACAAACTCATCTGGACTGCCACGTCCTGCCAGGTGTGGTTGTATTTGGTGCTGATGAAAACTGGTGACTAACACCCCCACTGGAAGAGGTGCCCCTGACTCAGGGAGTTCTGTCAGCAAGGTGAACGTGGAGTGAAAAGAAAAGCGGCCCCAAGGAAGGCAATCTATATCATAAAAGATGCGTTTTATGCATAGGAGAACAGTGAATATTAATTGCCCTTTTATTAAGTCAAAAAACAAATGGTATGTCAATGACAAAGTTGGTATGTGCTTCATGTGACTCCTTATGGAACTTTTGTTAGAAATAAAAGTTACAGCAAACAAAAGGTTAAATATCACACTCATATTCTTTGGACAGGAGAAATTCAATATGAATAGAAAAGTTTACAAGTGACTGCACAGAGTCCACAAAACTCAATGAAATATCACATCATCCAAAGTGTAGGAATCATATATGCTGCATACTAGTCAGCAATTTGTATCCAGGTTTGAAAGATGTTCAAAATTTTGTTTTTAAAGCTTCTGTAAGTTTCCCTATAACTGAATGCAACTCAAAGGGCATTGTTCTTTTTTTGTGTATGTGCCAGTCCTACGGCTTGAACTCAGGGCCTGGATGCAGTCCCTGAGATTTTTTCTCTCAAGGCTAGCACTCTACCACTTGAGCCACAGTGCTCTTCCAGCTTTCTCTGAGTAATCTAATGTAGATAAGGGTCTCACAGACTTACCACCAGAGGCTGGCTTCAAACTGCTAGCGTTACAGGCATGAGCCACCAGTGCCCGGAAAACAAGGTTAATATGTTATCTTTTTTTTAATTTTTTTTAAAATTTCTTTTTTTGTTTGTTGATTGGTCATAGGGCTTGAACTCTGGGGCTATGCCCAGAGCTCTTCAAGCACAAGGCTAGCGCGCTACCACTTGAACCACAGCGCTACTTCTGGTTTTCTGATGGTTTATTGGTGATAAAAGTCTCATGGACTTTCCTGCCTGGGCTGGCTTTGAACCATGATCCTCAGATCTCAGCCTCCTGAGTAGCTAAGATAAAGGCATGAGCCACCAGCACCTGGCTAAGGGCATTGTTCTTTACAGAGGAAAAGTTTCTGTGTTCAAAACAATTACAGCTAACTGATCAATAATTCTCATGTATAGTTCTTAAATACTTATAATCAAAGCAAAAGATGGAAAAAAACAAAGAACTCAATGTATTTTAATATTTTCATTTCAAAGTCCAAGCGTACCTCATAGGTGACAATCACCAGTATATTCTAAGAAAATTCTTCTCGCAACCCTATTCAATTCCCTATTTTCCCAAGAAAGTATTCACTAATTTCCCAAGTCAACGTAACTGCAAATGGCTGTGGGTTTCTACTGCTGGTGTCTTTCATAGGGCTGTGTGCTACATCAACCCAACAATTACATTCACATAGGGTGCCACCTTCCTGGCACCTGCCTTGCCACCCTTACGTTCTGTAAACTCAAACACTCCTAAAAGTAGTGAGCCTTGTGCCCCTTCACAAGCAGGCTATCAAGAAGGAAAGAGGGACGAGAGGCTCTGAAAATTGTTAAAAAACTTACCTCAGCAAAAATCTTGTTATTTTTGTCTTACATTCTCTGTTTTAGCACCTTTATTATGAACCTGAGAGGGGGGAAAAAAGGAAAATTACTTTTCACAGAAAGTACTACCTGCCTAGCAAGGGTGGTGGGAGAATGCCTGCAATAAACCAGGGCAAAAAGACCAAGTGTGATGAAAACTTCTGAACTGTGCAGGACCACTGAGCGGACTGCATGTGAACACACTTGGGGGGTGGGGGAGCACTATGGTGGTGGAGCGTGGGACTCTCCGTACAAGCATGGAGACCCATGCATGGAGGCCCGTGCTGGGGGTGGGGGGTGAGCCCAGCTCCACCCTGTGGCATCGGTGTGGAGTGTTTCTCACACACATACAGCAGTAGTAACCAAGGGGATGCTGAGAGTTACAGGAAACAGCCACCTTAGCACTCAGCCAGTTCTGGGAACATCATACTTGTTCAACAAGTGTTTACCGATTTATTTTCACAAAGCCTCATATAATTAATAAAAACAAACAAACTTGCCTCTCACTACCTCTACCCCTGTTATTTATTATACTTATCATTGCTACTCTTGCAAAAGGCACAGTTTTTAAGAGGCTAACAGGGCAATGGTGGAGAGTTATCCAGGCCCAGACGGCAGAGGGAAGTCAACTCTTCATTCCCTTGTTCAGCACAATTGGAACCTGAGTGCTGCTGGTACCGGGCATTCTTTACTGTACAGTACGCTCTCTCGTCGCAGTTTCCAGTCAATGTATCAAGGTCCAAGTCACAAGACAGCCCAGCTAGTCTAGGTGACAGATACTGGTTTTTACTGGGTCAAGGGCAGTACACAAATTGGCAGGATCAGGTAGAATGATTTGGTCTTGCCGGAAACACAGGGACTTTGGGGAATGCTGGGCAGCATCACTGTTAGGGGCAGGCAAGAGAGGAATGAGTAGGAAGGCCAGCAAGCAGGAGAGGCCTTGGGTGTCAGGCTAAGTTTGTCCTCATTGACTATTTTATCTGCTCATACTGATTAAGAGTTTAGTTTTAACTTTAATTCTAATAATTTTTTTCTCTATTTTTTTTCTTTTAAAAGCAAGCAAGGTAGCATGGAATAGGAAAGTGAAGCGGCACTTGAGGTGGGAGAGACATGCAGACGGTTTCAGGGCTCTCTCTGAATCTTCCCAACATTCTCACAGACGAACATTCTTATGATTGTTCCTTTACACACTGGGAAACTGAGGCATGGAAAAGGCAAGGATTATATTTTTAACATACTCTTGATTTCCTCCACCCCCAGCACTAGACAAGAGTTCTAAAGTTCACACGGAAAAATTTAAACAGCAAGAATTGCCAAGAAAAGAAAGAACAAGGTAAAACCAGTTGTAAGGTATGTTACAAAAATAAAAATGTGGCACACTGCTATATAAATTCAAAGACCAGTGGACTAGAACACACCATCTGGAAGTATACTGCAACTCACCCAGTTCACAAGACAATCAAAGCGTACTCCAAACAGCCTCTGAAGCAAATGAATAAAGAGAACTGGCAGCTAGCTGTGCAGAAAAAGATAAAGCTGAATCTACACACCACTCTGAATGCCAGAAAAAATTCCCAGTGGACCGAAGATATAAGTGTGAAAGTGAAACCATAAAAGCACTACAAGAAAACCTGGGCAAACTCCAATAATCCTGGAGGCCTTTGAGTCACTCAAACTTCAGACACCATAAACAATTAGTACAAACTACATAAAACCTAAAGAAAAAACTGTAGAGTTTTCAATTCTGAAGGTTTCAATGCTGAAGGCAAATGAAAACCAGCTGATAAAAACTGCAACTTCAAAGACAAAGGGATAATCTCCCTCTAGTTTGTGTATTCCTAGAAACTGATTAGGAAAAAAGTAATTTAAAAGAAAACTGTGCCAGCGGCACAAGCAATTCAGAAAGGAGAGAAAGAGATAAGGGGGGGGGAGGAAGGAAGACAGAGAGAGAGAATAAGAGGAAGAGGAAGGGAGAAAGGGAGGGAAGGAGGAAGGAAGGAAGGAAGGAAGGAAGGAAGGAAGGAAGGAAGGAAGGAAGGAAGGAAAGAAGGAAGGGAGGAAGGGAGGAAGGGAGGGAGGGAGGGAGGGAGGGAGGGAGGGAGAGAGGGAGGACTGATGGACAGAAGGACGGACAGACAACTAACCTTTAAACACATGACAAGATGCTCAGCCTGGCTCATCATCTGTCACATACCATGTTGGCATCTCTCACCTATCAGTTGATACAAACTTGCAGGCTGGCAAACACAGTAGGCTCGAGAGGCCTAAGAGAGGCAGGTACCCCTCACACACGCGAGCCGCCCTCTGCATCTGGGTGTCTGTATCCACAGATTCAACAAACCTCATACTTTATCTACACGGAGCATGTATGGACTCTTTTCTCTGGTCATTATTCCCTAAACAATATGGTGTAACAACTATTTACACAACATCTGCACTGTATTGTCTTGTAAGTAGACTAAACATCACTAAAGCATTTGGGACAATGTGAATAGGCTATGCAGACACACTGTCCCATTCGATAAGGGGCTGGAGAATCATCAGGTTGTGATGTCTATGCTGGGGTCCTGAAGAAAGCCTTCACAGACACCTAGACATTTCCAAATGCTGCTGCTATCAAAGGCAAAGCATTGCCAACATCAGAAACATGCTGCTTGGTGATCCAGCTCCATATGTGCAGACACACCTGCACAAGTAGGTTTTCATCATGGTATCGCCTGTGATAGACACAACACAAACATCCACCAGTAAGGGCTGGTTAAGTAAACCTGGCACAGTACAGACATTCAGTCTAAAAACACTTACTATAAAATAATGCTATATACTTCCCTGTACCAATATGAAAAGATCTCAAGCCAGGTGCTGGTGGCTCACACCTGTAATCCTAGCCACTCAGGAGGCTGAGATCTGAGGATAATGGGTCAAAGCCAGCCCCAGGCAGGAAAGTCTGTGAGGCTCTTATCTCCAATTAACCACCAGAAAACCAGAACTGTCATTGTGGCTATAAGTGGTAGCTCACTAGCCTTAAGCAAAAAGAGCTCAGGAACAATGCCCCTGCCCTGAGTTCAAGCCCCATGGCTGACTGCCCGCCCCCCCCCAAAATAAAGATCTCAAGAATATATAAACAATTTATTTTTTTAATTTATTTTTGTCAGTCCTGGGGCTTGAACTTAGGGCCTGGACACTGTCCCTGAGCTTCTTTTGCTCTAGGCTAGCACTCTACCACTTGAGCCACACAGTGCCACTTATGGCTCTTTTTGTTTATGTGGTACTAAGGAATCGAACCCAGGGCTTCATGCATGCTAGGCAAGCACTCTACCACTAAGCCACATTACCAACCCCTAAACAGACTTTTTTTTTAAAGGGCAAGAGGCATGTGTGTGTGTATGTGTGTGTGTGTGTGTGTGTATGTATATATATATTTATTTATTTATAATGGCATTTGCTTGCATCTGTACAAAGAAATAATGGACATCTACATGATCTAAGTACAGGTTATCTGTACCATCCCCACCAACCAGTTGGAAATTAAAAATTCCCAAAGTATGTTTTGTGCCAGTTTAAATTTAGAACCACACAAATATTTAACCTAAACACCTTCTTAAATTGACCTTTTCCTCTTTTAGTATTTCTCAGTTACTTTCTTCCAAAGAGAATTATCATCTTTCTCAAATCTAGGAAACGGCAAAACTATCTATCACCCAACTACCATTATTTGATTTTTTTTTTCCTTTTTGGTGGTACTAGGGTTTGAACCCAGGCTTCATGTTTGTGCTAGGCAAACACTCTACCACAGAGCCAAATTTCCAGCCCAAAAACACTTTTAAAACTTTTTTTTAAAGTACTTCACTGAAATAACTACCTATAAACAAGAGTCAAAATTCAATGAATCTTAAGAGTATTTTTCTCTTGAGATCGGATATTGTGAAAAGCAATTTTAGCTGGGTGCTGGTGGCTCATGCTTGTAATCCTAGCTACTCAGGAGACTGAGATCTAAGGATCACGGTTCAAAGCCAGCCCAGGCAAGAAAGTCCATGAAACTCTTATCTCCAATAAACCACCAGAAAACCGGAAGTGGCACTGTAGCTCAAGTGGTAGAGCACTAGCCTTGAGCTGAAGAGCTGAGGGATAGGGTTCAAGCCCCATGACCAAAAAAAAAAAAAAAAGCAATTTTAGGTTGAATGCTGGTTCAAGCCTATAATCCTAGCTATTCAGGAGGCAGAGATTAAGGCTGGGAAGGTGGCTCAGTGGTAGAGTGCTTGCGTTGCATGCATGAGGCCCTCGGTTTGATTCCTCAGCACCACATAAGCAGGAAAAAAAAAGCCAGAAGTGGGGCTGAGGCTCAAGTGGTAAAGTGTAAAGCGCTAGTCTACAGCTGAAGAGCTGAGGGACAGCGCCCAGGCCGAGTTCAGGCCCCACAACCAACAACAACAAAAATCAGGAGGCAGAGATTGTGAGGACTGTGATTCAAGGTCCTATCTCAACCTGGGGTGGTGATTCATACCTGTAATCCCAGTTAGGTGAGAGGCAAAGATAGGCAGCTGCAGTCTAAGATTGCCTGGGCAAAAACTCAATACCCTACCTGAAAATGACTAAGGCTAAAAGGGGTTGGGGGTATAACTCAAGTGGTAGAAGAGGGCCTACCTAGCAAATGTGAGGCCCTAAGTTCAAACTTGAGGATTGCCAGGCAATTTCAGTGTGTCCATCATTTAAAAAGATAGAATACTTCACCCTTCTATTAAGTTAAAGCATGTGACTAACAAATTCGTTGTTTTTTTAGGAGGGGTACTGGTTGAACTTTGCCTGGGCGCTGTCCCTAAGCTTTTGTGCTCCAGGCTGGCACTCTACCACATGAGCCACTGATCCATTTCTGGCTTTCTGTAGTTAATTGGAGTAAGAGTCTCCTGATCTTTCCTGCCCAGGCTGGTTTTGAATTTCCATCCTCAAATCTCAGCCTCCTGAAGAGCTAGCCATCAGTGCCTGGCTACAAATGTACTTTTAAAGAAGCCGTCTGAGGCAGGAGGGTCCAGGGAGGACAACCTAGTT